GCCGGCGGGGCGGTGACGCGGGCGTGGGCGCCAGCCCCGGGCCCACGCTCGCCGCTCCCTCCCCATGCTGTGCTTCGGCTTCGGGCAGCCGGAGCTGGGAGCCACCCATACTCACGCGGCCGCAGCTCACAGGCACCAGTGCTGGCCGGATGATTCACTGCCCTGCTGCCTCCCTGCCAAGCTCGTAGCCAACACGCTTCGCTCCATGCAAGACATAGTCACAGCTCTCCCTCAGCCTCCTGCTTCTGGATAATCCCTCCTTGCAATTCTGCATGTTATTGGGTTAGTGTGTGTGCGTGCATGGAGTGTGTGTGTGTGTGTGTGTGTGATGGAGGAGCGGGGGGAAATCCGGGCAGATAGACCCAGTTCCTCCTGCCCACTGATTAGCTCTCCGTAAGACGGCAAATCATGCCAGAGCAAGGCAGGTAAATTTGTAACGGCATTGAATCTTGAAATCCCGTTTTCTTTTTCATTGTTTTGCACAGATCAGCCCTGTCAAGTCACAGCCATCACAGCATAATGCTCGGCAGCCTCCTCCTTCCGTCAGGAGTCCTCAGGGCATCTCCCGAAGATCAGACCTAGTTAAAATATCTAGTTTCTGTGCAAAGCCCCCAAGACCGTGACAGCAGCGCTCAATTGCCTGGAGCTTTTAGGAGTGTGCGTGTGTGAATGGACATTTCCAGCTACGCAGGGATGTACTCTTCTGCCATTTCACGTCAGCATCAGTCTGGCTATTAATGTGCCTGTTGTTGTGCCTCGTGTTCCTAAATGAGAGGGAAGGAGAGATTTCCAGCCCTCGCCATTCTGATACGGACAGCACTTCCCAAATTTGGTGCCGGTTCAAAGGCTGACCAGATAGAAGACCAGGTTTCGGGTATCTCCCCAAAGCAGAGGCTATTCAAAGGAAACCCTCCCCAGGAGCCCCAGGAACCCAAACTTCAGCCCCGCTTCTGCCGAGCGAGACTCACACGCAGAGCCCCACGGACCACCCCCGACGGGGTCGATGCTTGCAAGAACACACGATCACAGGGAACCGCTGAACACAGCTAAGCGAGACTCTGGGCGCATCCTGTGCTGCATCACTCACCTATACCCCAGCATTAAACTTGCCTCCCGCAGGGCTTCTTCCAGCCTCAGGCAACTGGCCCTAAAACATCAAGGAGCCTTAGCCAAAGCTGCCTGGCCGTATCTGGCTGACCCGCAGTCCCCAGCCCACCCCGACGACACGCGTTTCCCCAGACAAGACGTGGCAGGCACGAAACAGCGAGGCTAGCCCTTTATTTGAGGCAAGCCTCCAGCGCAATGATTGCCGAGCTAATGGCCGCCTGGCAGCGCTGGCTTCGGGAGAGCAGAGAGAGAACCCAGCCCTCGGCTCCGGGGAAGCAGTAAACGCCGCCACCACCACCTCCTGTCAGGAGTCTGCTGCTCCTGTTCTCTCCTCGTTTGCTTAACAGATAATTGGGTGCTGTAAACCTAAGCAGTGCACCTGCTTGAACTGTGCTGTCCTCCGCCACACCCAGCGCTCCCCAGCCCTCGCTGCGTGCTGGCTAAACCCTGGGCTCTGCGCGCTGAGCGGGGCACGGCCGGGCATCAGCACAACGGGAGTCAAACAGGT